GGGGAATTTCTGTATGGAAATGAATAGCTAATGAGGAGCCTCGTTTTAAAATACAAAAAATAAAGTTGCTGTAGACTGAGTTTAAAACACATTTTTTTACTTAAAAAAAATAATTTATGCTTAGAAACATAAAAATTAATAATATTTATGTATCAATTGATAATTTTAGACGTGAAAATAGCAGCCATTTCACAGGCACTTTAAAACCTGGTAAAATTGCTCAAATCACCAAAATAGTGAAAATGAACGTTTTTACAGTAATGTGGTCTACTTTACTTTAGCAAGTTTAAATTTTCACTGGAAACAGTAGTATTTCGGAGTACAGATACAAAATAAGATAAATGAATTTTTTTTTATTTAATCATTCACTGAAAATATATATATTCTGAGTTGACCTGAAGTATTCTCCATTAACTTACTAATTCTTTGATGTCAGATATTTTTCATGTCAAAAATTTTGTGCAAATATTTTCAAAAAATTATCACTAAATTTCATCATTTTGCACCATACAGGCAGATATTGCTATTTTGATCGAAAGGTTTGTCAATTTTTACCAACATTTCATGCGGGAAGGAGCAGATTACACAAAATCATTTTGTAGATGGTACCAAAAGTTGAAAATAGCGCTCAAAAATTAAAGGGCAGTGGTCGTAATGCCGTGTTGTGTGTATACAATACAGTACATGTAAATTACCTTGTTTGTTCACACGAAAATTAGGACACACCATTGCCCTTTTTAAGTTTAACCATAATTTTTCGAAATTTATGATAAATACATATAGGAAATGAGTAATTATGACAATTTGGTGCAAAACTAATGAAGATATAATAATGCAACAGGAAAAAATATTGTATCAAAAAATATGTTTAATACACAATATTTTGTTTTTACCAATACATGAATGTTATAACCGATCTAACCTCATTTATTTTAACTATCTAATAACATTATTATTTTAATGAAATGCTCATTTAAAAGTTGTTAATAGTTAAAACATTCAATAAAATAATGTTCTATTATTCATAAACTTTTTTACCTAGTCACGTTGCTAACTATAACTTGTGTTTTCTCACTCACCAGAATTTAGTTCAAAAATAAAACATTTCATTTTCTTTTTCCAGGATGAAGAAACTCCTAGGAACTCGGAGAAGGAAGAACCATCAACAGATATTTCTGATTCTGTCGACATACAAGGTATACATTTATAGCCAATTACATGTGACAGTGCTACTGCCCTCTAGTGTTGTAAAAAGTCACTAACTGCTACTGCCCTCTATGTTGTAAGTGTAACAAATTAATTACTTTGTTTTCTAACCTAGATAAATGCCAGAGAGTTAGACGGAGAGCATCCAAGAGAAAGCGAAACAGTGACTATAAATTCATTAGGGACAAGGTAAACAAAATTGGAGTGCGAAACAGTGACTATAAATTCATTAGGGACAAGGTAAACAAAATTGGATGCTGGAGTTCACAGAAAGGTCTGATGTAATATTCTCCAGTTATTAGTCCCCGTTCGGACGCAGTCCGAAAACGGGGACTTATGTTTTGCCCTGTGTGCGTCCGTGCGTCCGTGATCACCTGTATCTCGAACATGCATGGACCGATTAAGTTCAAACTTCACTCATACATCACACATTATATGGGACATATGCACATGCATTTTTTTCATGATCCGATTAACGATAGCCGAATAGCGGCCATTTTAAGGCCGAAAATGCATCAAAATCGCACATTTTCACCATTCCGGACCCGGATCTCAGTTATGCATGGACGGATTTTGTTCAAATTTGGTACATACATTAAACATAATAGGACCTTGATGCACGTCATTTTTTTTTTTTCGGATCAAGTTCGAAATAGCCGACTGGCGGCCATTTTGTTTTAAAGAATTCAGTTCTGGATCCGTATCCGAGACATGTCTGGATTGATCAAGTTCAAACTTCACACACACAAGGTACATCATGTCACAAATATGTATGTGCATTTGTTTCATGATCTCATTAACGATAGCCAAATGGGGGCCGCTTTAAGGCCGAAAATGCATTGAAATCGCACATTTTCACCATTCCGGACCCGTATCTCAGTTATGCATGGATGGATTTTGTTCAAATTTGGTACATGTACATACATTAAACATAATAGGACCTTGATGCACGTCTTTTTTTTTTTTTCGGATCAAGTTCGAAATGGCCGACTGGCGGCCATTTTGTTAAAGAATTCAGTTCTGGATCCGTATCCAAGACATGTCTGGATTGATCAAGTTCAAACTTCACACACACATGGTACATCATGTCACAAATAGATATGTGCATTTGTTTCATGATCTGCTTAACAATAGCGGAATGATGGCCATTTTAAGGCCGAAAATGCATCAAAATCACGTATTTTCACAATTCCAGAACCGGATCTCAGTCATGCATGGATGGATTTTGTTCAGATTTAGCACAATGTGTTGTACATATGCAGGTGCATTTCGGTCATGATCTGCTTTGAATGTATATGTCACTCAAATATGAACGGAACGGGGACGTGTCATTGACAATGACTTGTTTGAATTTATGATTTTTATCCTGTTTTTAGTGTATGTTGAACTTGATAGAAAAAAAAATGTTCTGATGTATTCAAATCTAATTTTTTGTGCTATTCTTACAGAAACAGGGCAGTTCAGATATTCAGAGTGGAGATCAGGACTTAGAAAGCTCTGAATCAGGTTGGTTTAATTTCTGTTCTTCACTTGTGAACAAAACTTGTTGTCTTTTATTGTAATACCAAGAAAGGCTTCTTTCCTTAACATACTTTGAGTATACTGTAAATCTATTCATTTTTCACAGGGGTTTAATTTTGTTATTTTTGTTGATAAGCAAAATCTGCTAAATGAAATCCATATGGACATGTAAAATAACAATATAACTTGTTTCCCTGGCAAATTCATGAACTTAAAATATGTTCAAAACATCAGAATATTGAAACTAAATGGCAGGGATAATAAATGGTTTCAAAAACTTGCCCCTCCAAAGACATATTCCATGTACATTAGCTTTAATTATATGACATGGTTTGTGAATAAATTAGAGAGAACTTCATCTTCAAATCTGCTTCTTTGCCTTGTAGATTCTTCTGATGCCAAACTTGAATTGTCCGCCAGTGTCAAGAAGAAAAAACGCTCTTCCATGGTCCAATGTGATAGCCAAACTGGCAACTTTTCAAACAAAGAGAGCTTGATAACCGGTAAAATCTGCATGCCTACAAGTCTAAATTTAGCAGAGGTACTCATGCCAAATCAACATGCTGCAGTAAATGTGAATGTTTCTTCTGGTGGTATCAACAAAAAGTGTCCAAGATTAATCGACTTTACTGAAGTACCAGACTTTCCTGTAGTCGCACTCTCACCATTCTGTACATACGCAGCTGGAATGTTTGACCATCATGGCGGACATCTTGAATTGCCGAGTGCCAGAGTGAAACTCTTTATTCCCGCTGGCGCCATAAAAGAAGGCATAGAACAACCAGTGTACATATACGTCACACGAGAGAAACGATATCAACCACCGCTGAATCATGGCGAAATTTCACTTTCGCCAATTATATTTTGCGGACCAAATGGTCTTAAGTTTGAAGAAGATGTCTTCCTCAAAATTCCGAACTCTGCCAGCAACGAAGGCAAAAAATGGAAATTCCAAACAGTCTCTACAAATACTGATATTAATGAAGATCCGGTTTTCCAGAAATCGCCAGAAATCTTTTCGGTTGCTGAAAAGGAATTTGTCACCATTGTGGTGAATCATTTCACTGGGTTTGGTATCCAAGGGAAGCCTGATGATGAGGTTGCTATGGAGAACGCATCTTCTGATGATACCCAAACATCCGAGTTTGTTGAATTTGTCCCGTTTGTACAACATGGTGGGAACCACGTGAAATTACGCATATATGGCATGCGATCTGCAAACCAGGTAATGTGTACATTGTACGTATAGAGTTAGAATATCGTTATTACTTGTAAAAAATCACTGCAGGCACTTCAAATAATGACTCATTAAACTGCCATCTCTTTTTTTTTGCAACATTGTAATATTTCTAGGAACATTGTGTATGTTTTCCTTTAATACATACATTATATCCACATACGTAGATGCAAAAATTTTCTCATTAGACACTTAACACATTTATTTTTCAAACTATTTGAATAGTAATTAATGTTCAATTTGTCAAATATTGAAATTTTTTTATTACACAAGTTTTGTAAAAATTTCACCACTTCAAAACAAGCAAACAATAATAAACCAAGTTGGGTTTTCAATTTGAAAATAATGTTATTTTATTCTGGTTTTGGTAAGTTCTGGATAAAACGAGGAGTTGGCTGCAAATTGATCCTCCTTAAATTATTTAAACAAAAAGTGTGCGACATGGATTTCTTCAACATGTACTCAACACTTGACCAACATAAAAGTCGTACAGATAGTTTATGACATAGAATTGCTCTAACCAGATTTCGAGAATCATCTTGTAATGATTGAAAAAATTGAAACAGGAAGACACTCTCAACTTGCTAGAATCAAAACAAATTTTCCATTTTGTGTACCGTAAATAACACCATTGAGGATGAATAAGATTTTTGACTTATTTGTCCCACCTTTCATGAATAGCGTGTCCAGTATATCCCATTATATTAACGCACTGATTGTACCAATGTTGCCACTATATGCAATGCAGCTAAATTTGTTTACCGTTTAAGAAACGAGTCAAGCTTCTCAGAGTAAATTAA